AGATATCACTAGTCTACTACAGGTGCACTCTACACTCCTACCCGTCTCATATTCTGTCCTTCTTGATCTGTGTAAAAAGAAATCGGACTTGTGAGGTTTTCTGGGGCTATTCTCGTTCTGAAATATCCAAGAAAAAAGAGCTTATTTCTATATTTCTTCTGTTGTGTTGAAAATGATAAAACTGTGACTTATGATTACTATAATTAGCCGATCTATATTACAGAAAGTAATCATGCCAGATTTGGAGAAAAAATGAGCAATATTTTATACATCATCGTCAAAATCAAACGTAATAAAAACAATCCAGCACGTATAATTGGAAATATCGGTGAAAATAAAATTCAAAAAACATAATTTGATTTCTTTTTGGTCAAAATGATTCGAATGAGTATAACTGTTTGACGTTAGTGCTCTACCTCTTTCTTGCCGCAAAGTTTCTTGATATGCTTGAATCTATTACTGCACGCTCCTAGCGAGAAAAATACCACTGCGGCTACCAGTGCCCCTGCTACCACTCCGTAATTTTGAGCGTCGTCATTCTGGTCGTCCTTGTCCTCTGGGTCTATTTGCGCATTGGGATCGTCTAGACTGTTAGTTATCTGCACATAAGAGATACAGTATAGAAGTATGAAAGATAAAAACCCAACGAGAACGGACTTCAGAAGATAGACGGATGTTGAGTACGAACAGTGACAAATTTGTAGTCAGCCTTCTAAATAAAAGAGACGGTTGTCCTTTAAAATGTGCCTTATGACCTATTTGCATCTAAAAAAGAAGGAAGTAAATGTGACTTTCATCAGGGGGAAATTCGTCGCAAATAATTGATATCACAGAGTGCATTCGTAATTGTAATGAAGATGTAACCTGTTGCAAATTTATTTACTTATTTATTTTGCGCTTGTTAAGGATTCAACTGATTACTTGCTAACGTTTTGAGAGCTTACAACTTACATTTTGAAATAAGTTGATATTGCTGGAATTTGAACCCGTTGCGTTTCCTTCAAAAGATATCATCACTACGAAATAAAAAAAGAAATTATTATCATAACAAACCAGATTCTTATGACACAGAAATTGAATGTTCTGTAAAATGATCAATCAATACCATTTAATATCCCTTTAATATCTTTATAGCAGGTGACATTTCCGTGTCCAATGAACTTTACGGAGGAAGTTGATACTTGTGAACTCACTGTTTCTATATATGCTGTCTCCCACTTACCCTTTTCTGAACTGGCATACTATGTCATTTAATGGCGATTTTATGGTATACAATTACTCGCTTCCAATGATCCAATCAAACAAGTGCAAGAATTAGAAAAGCGTCGCCAACCAAGGAACAATTTATATATAAGGTACATGTATATTCATCCATTATTCATCGCAATGTATTTCTCGAATTTCTATATGTATTTTCTACGCTCTATACGCGTGTACACTTATTTTACTTGTGTTCAAGTTTATGCCTTTGCAATCTCAATCTATTAACATATTTGTGTCGTACTACACATATTTCTATATTAAAATATTTTATTTAGACTTGTCATACATGTAATATAAATTGTAAACTGTCAGTCTGCCTCTAGTTCTCCCTATTTTTAACTGTAGTAAGTACTGGTCATGGAAGTAATACATTAGCATTAAACTTTTATATTTGAAAGGCCAATTTTTCTCATAATTTAAATCTAAATTCACTACTGCAAATATTGGTACGTGTATGTCACGAAAAAACGAATCTCATACATTTTGTAATTCGAAGTATTGACACGGGAAACTTGTTTCATTTTTTTTAGAATTCACCATTGATCATTTTTTTCATTCTAGTATATTTACAAGTGGGAAACAAAATACTCCAGTAAGTGCCTTTCACCTTCCAAAAGTTAGTACATATTCGGTGTGATCGGAATTGATTTATTCGACCTACCGTCATTTCTCTCATCCAGCAAAAAACCGTCCCCACCAGTTCCATTGGTATCCACAGTCGTATTCGACTGGTTAAGAAAATCTGTGTTGTTATTGAAAGTGTTTTGATCGGGAGGCGATTGAGATACAGGATAGGAGAAAGTGCTCCTGCGAGAAACCTCAGCCAATTTTGTGCTTGTCGCCTCGTCTGAATCTTCATCGTCCGTGTAGCCAAGCATATACCAGAGAGTGGAAAAAGACAGAAACGAGGTTTCAGCTTCTTTTTTGCAGCTTCTCTTAAAGTCTTCCGTTATGTCGCCATCATATACGTCACACCGTGCACATATGACGTCACGGGTTTTTGTACACTGTTTGTGGATGAAATGTCTGGATGTACACTTTTCTGAACATTTTTGGCATGGTTGGTTTCTTGAATAGGTTTTTGAAAAGGTCCCCGTTTTGCAAGGTACGCAGAAGGTGTCTTGAGTATTGGTGCATTTTTTCTCTGCCCCATAACCTGGCGGACATTTCGAGCAGCGCTGTCTTGTTTGCGTGTTACAGTACTGAAAAAAAAAAGAAAAGAAAGAAAGAAAAGAAAAGAAAGAAAAAAGAGTAAAAACAAAGATTTCTATAGTTCAGTGGATCTTTCATAGTTTTGGTGCAATATAATAATAAGTGTGACATAACAATAAGTGGATAATGTGTACTCAGTTATTAAGAAAAAACACTTGCAGATGACCCAGCGGACGGATTGGAGCACACCCATCCCACCCTTACAACACACACACACACACACACACACACACACACACACACTTCTTTTCTTTTTCATTGACCATAGACGTGTAAAGTTTAGGCATACTGCCCATTTATCGCAACGTCAAAAATGATATTAATCCGTGATAGCCCCGAAATTTCGCATTTAGTTTGGGGTCATCACGGATGATTTTCACAATAGTGGGTTTTAAAGGAGAGTTGAGTTAGAAATAATGGCAGCCTAGCGAGTGCGGTGCGGTAACGAAGAAAAGCAGCCAAGCAGCCATATTAAACCCATGAATATTTTTCTGGACGTTTTCTCTTGGAATCTGTCGAATAGCAGTCTAATGTTTAATAGCAGGAATTCGCCACATTTTGGGTGTCAATTTTGCACTGCATTTTGAGAAGATATCCCCTTCGCGTTGAGATTCGCACTTATCGCTGAGAATTTAACCTCACTTCACGCGAATTCTCGCACATTTTATTCTCGTTTGGCGTTTCACATTGCCAAGGGCCTCGTTTTATGCTATCTCGGATGATTTCCATTAACCATCTTTTTGGACACCTAGGTAAATAGCCATCGTCAATTAAAATCGGATCACCGTTCCCTGATTAACGATAAGCGTATCAATCCTTCCCAAGGGCAGCTTAAACTTTGGATTCCCTTGTCCACTGGGGGTGAATACCTTATCTGGTGTTATATACTACATCCAATTCAGTCCCAGCTCTATCAACGATAAGGACGAATAGAAAATCGGACGCTAGCAAATAATGTATAAATGGGGTTCTCATAGAGCAAGAACTAGAGAGCTAAGATTACTATTATACAGTAGATGTTTTCAAACGTGTATGTGTTGGCATCTTTTGCTGTGTAAAGAAAAGGTGAGATAATGATTTGATGTATACACAGCTGTTTGATTGGTAGCATCGTTCTATTTTGGTACATAGGAATACAAGCGTTCCTTAAGAGGAGTCCCACTTTCCTTTGCAATTACCAAGAAGTTGTATTTGCCTAGTGTTTCACCCGGCCTGGTTCACAAATGCTCTCTTATGGAAATATGCCACTATTTGGTCTGCACAGTTCTTCTCAGCCAGTTTATCTCCGAGAGAATCTTTGACGGCAGAGACAATTATAAACTCGCCAAAACACACATGTATATATATTCACCCGTTAACCATACACAAATTACCGGGTACTTGAAAACAAATCCAGCGATGACGTGGAGGAACGTTTGAAAAGAGGGATCTAATCCATGGGAAAATGATGCTTAAATAGCGCTTAAACTGTATCGCGGGTATAAAGTGCGGAGAAAACATATTGTTCCAAAGATACTGTTATAAATAATATAAATGTACCTAGGGCGTCATGTAAAAAGACGTGGGAGAGAGATATCGAATTAACTTGGATTAGCTTATCAACATAATTACGTACTTGGCCCGCAATGAGTTGCACTGGCTGATATGAGATCGCTTAATATTACAACATAAAATTTGACAGGTCACATGCGTCTTATATAAAAATCCCCAAGTTAATTAATTCTTCCTCTTTCGTGTGACTAATATTCCATCTAGTCAATATGCTGAATTTTTTAAACAGAACCTTGAAACATGAGGCATGCTTTCTAAATTTCGTGCCAAGCACCCTTGGAATTGAATACCCACGTGGTAAGTACATCTGTTTAAGTGCAAAATTCACCGGAAAATATCTGTCTCGAATTTATGTCGCATAAAATGCAAAAAATAAAATTAAATAAAATAGGAAAAACATTGTCTGTTTGATGTGTGTGACAGTGTCCTAAGTAGATGTTTTGGCACGATGACTCCAGTTTTTCAACTATCAAAAACAAACGATAGTGATTGAGATAGCGCACAGACCGTAGAAAGCCTAAGCGGTTCCATGTATATCTTTTTCTAAATATATCTGAAGTCAATGCGACTTGCTAAAAATACTCTGATAACTTTTGTTGAGTAAACCTTAGATTCCGTGGTTGCGTGTTTACTAGTATTTTCAGTAGAAAATAAGAAGTGTACTTGTGCACCTGCGTGGGGAACAATCGTTTTAATGGTTTGAATAAGATTCAGCCCGGCATGTGTTGGTAGAAGTCCTTCGTATGAATTAGTCTGGTGTATAAGTGATGTAAGAAAATAGACTTCTTATAAACTGAACTAATAATAAATTGTGTAAAACATATTCTCGCTTTTCGTCATTCCCACTTTCGTGTTTGCACGCTTTACGCGACCATGCGAGGGCGCGCGCGCGCGAGAGAGATCCATATAATTTAAATTTTTTTCACTACTCTTGCCTACCTTAATTAAAAGGTGTCAACTTTACAGTGTTTACGTGTGAGCAAGAATAGCTGATTTTGGACGGGATTTAAAAACCTACAAGTACGTAGGAGCTCCCCTTCCGTGGTGTGAGTGGGAATAAAAAGGCTGCTTTGGGTCATTACGTTTTCATTTTTCAAAGATAACCTCTTGAGAGAGAGAGAGAGAGAGAGAGAGAGATGTGTATAATACCGGAAATGTTATCTATGAAGACTCCAGAGTCAAGGTTGGGGTTAAAGATGGTATCTGTAATGTACAGATTGTCAGTACAGTTTACTACAAGGGGCATAATATAGGCTACTAATGCCTTACCTTTAGTGACATGGCGATGATCAGCAACAACAGAAATCTTGGCATTTTGGACTAGATTCGATCCAAAGTTTCTAAAAATAACTGGTACAGAGCAAAAGGCGGATGAATGAGAGTTCTTGATAATTCCTTTTGGTGTGAACACTTCGCTGTATTGAGGTTTCTAACTACGAAAACAATGGTCATATAGCATCGCCCGTTTCCTTTCACGGTAATTACACGTCCTATAACCCGCACCAAGATATCGAGATAGACAATAAAACTCCACTTTCACCGGTCCAGGAAAACCGAGGTGCTCCTCCTTAAAATCCAACGAGGAGATTACACCGTGTCACCCGTGTTGAACGTTGTCCACTGGATTTCAACACTCAGGCATGGGGCCCTTATCACCCGCTGGGGCTTATCGTATTTCGACACACTTGTACTTTGGCTGTGGTACACACCACACTCTCGGCAGCGACACAGATCGAAACACCGTTATACATATGTATTTATATAGTTTATCTTATTGTCTTTTTGTTTTCTTCGACTTTGCTCGTTTAGTTTAACCTACTGACTTATTGTTTTTTTTTACTTGTTCGTTTTCCTTGTGCATTGTCTGTATGGGATAGCTTGTTGTCCATAATCAATTTGCATTGGAATACTGATATGGGATTGATACGGCTAGATTCGATGACTTAATGAATTTATTCACCATTTCTTGTCAATTTTCTAATGCTTTATTATTATTTTTCCTTTTTTATGTAGTGGTGGCTTGTAAAGAAAAAAATATGCAAAACTGTGCAAAGTGTTGCATTCTTGTGGTAACACCACTAAGCGAGTATAAATGCTTGATCATTATCTGCTTCTTCCTAGATCGTGGTGATTTGTTTCTCCCCTATCTGACCATATCTCACTCGCACAGCGAGTCAAATAAATATTAACAGCCCTAGAAGCGGATATCAAGAACGCTTGTAACACAGAAAATATAAATTGTACACAATTAGATAGTTCTTAATGGGACAGGTTGATTGCATCAGTTGAGAAAGGCCATTGCAATCACATCCGAGCAGGGCCGTGTTTGGCCATAACAGATTATTCTGTATCATCGACTGGATGAAAGTGGTCATTATTATAGATATAGGTCGATACCTTCCTTGGAGACACATAATATACCCTGGGCATTGTCAACTTTTCAGTAATTTTATGATTTTACCAAATACATCAATTATAACTCGTTTAAATGACCGTTTAAATGGTCATAAGAAGGTGCACCGCACGCACACGTCGGTACATTTATCAAGAAGTGCGACGCGTTTATACAATAAGGAGAAAAAAGTATTATTAAAGGCACCGAAATATGGTTACGGATAAGGATAACCTGAAAGAACACGTCTTAAAATGCATGGCAAATATCACAGAGTTCAATTTGTCTTTAATTTGATATTGACACATTCTGTTAATTCTTATTCTTATTTTCTGTACGCCAAAGCACGAAATCTCTGACCTTTTCAGTTCCTGATTTTCAACATACATGTATGTTGTATAACCCGTCCTGTAGATGGTTAACACAAGGCAAACATTGGACTTCCATTTATGTTACATTGTTGTTAAGTTTTTAACTTGTTAAAACAAAATACACCCGAACTAAAAGGCGTCTTATTCAAGAAAGATATATTTTTATTCAAGTGTTTTTTGTAATTAATTTAAATATGTTCACAGCAAAATATTGAATATATACATGTGACAACAAGGACTTTTCTTTTCGCTGATTAAAACTATCTGGTCCTAATTATATTAAAAACAAAAACAAAAACAAAACAAGATTTAAAAAAAACACTCCCTCGAAATTTTGATGTGACAGGCTCAGATGTGCAGTTGGTGAGTTTACGGGCATATTTCATCCACGCCAGGGACTCACGATCTTACAACTTCTTACGGTGTGCCAGAGGATCGTTTCCAATTCTGCAAATTTCGTTCTGCCACCCCACAACCCGATAAAAATAATAAAAACGAAAAAAATAACCCATAAATATAGCAAATAGCAATTGTGAACCCCTTGATAAAAAATAAATAAATAGAATTAAAATAGAATTTAACAATGAATTATATTAATGGAAATACTATGTACAGCAACTTAAAAATTGTCCAAATATTTTTTCATATGTGCCCATGCACTTTCTCTGGGGTAATCACTGTAGGTCAAGTAGGTGGTTGTTCATCCCGGATACTGCTGCGCCCTCTCACGGCAGCGACTTTAGTGTCATCACGGAAGCTCCCATCTCTTCCGGCACTGTCGGCAGCTGTAAATTGATAGAAAAAGTAAGTAACTGTAAGGATTAATCAGATACACTTTTCAGAACTTCATTCTCCAAGCTTTCACGATTTAAAAATAAGTGTAACTAAAGAACTTGTTTATTTTCTGTTGCAATATTCTTACCATGGGTGTTGTCATCTGATTCAGCATCCGCACAGTTGGAGCTCTGGCACACGTGAATAATGCGTGCTTCTGGTTGGCCGGTTCGCAGGAGGTCACTCAGACCCCAGGGGTAATCAATGCCACCATTCTGGCTGCTAGTGACCACACTTGTCAGTGGAGCTGCGGAAGTAGAACAGCGTATGTGTTCTAGGCGTGGCAGACGTGCTGGGAGATTTTTCCTTGGGGGAGGCACGGCCAATGCACCCTGGTATGGCAAGGTGCCACGCCCCAGGTGGGAGGCTGGAGAAGGAACAGCTTCATCCTCGTCAGAGCTGTATTGCTCGCCTTGAAAGGGGACAAAAGCAGGTTTCAGAATGGCTGCCACGCCCAGTGGTCCTTCATCTTCATCTTCATCTTCATCTTTATTATCATCATCGGTAGAGGAAACTGGTTTGCCAGCGGCGTTTTCTTTATCTGACTTTCTTTGGAGGATCTGGGAAAAATGATGCCACATTTAAAAACGTTCTTTTTCCTAAGGCGAGTTAAGCTTCCTTTCTACTGTTGAGGATAGTAACATTTTAACTAACACCTTACGTTTAAACGAATCCCTGTTTCTGAAATATTCTACATCTATACATATTGCACTTTAAACACCTTAGTTTTGAAGGCTTTAAATTGTATAAAACCCCAAAAGGCATTATTAAAAATGAGGAAAAAAAACATGTGAGGTTGTTTACCTGTTGTCTTTTCATGTCCTTTTTAGCCAGAGCCTCCTTGTTCTTATCAGAGAGCTCCTGGTGCCGCCTAGCGGCATTCTCATGTTTCTTGTTGTACGCCTCTAAGGCAGCTTCTTGCCTGGTTGCGATGCGCACCGCTTTCACACGAGGGACCTTAGATAAGAAAATAAGTCAGCCTGTTTTCTATTTAATTTTCAATTGTAATTGCTAATCACACAAAGACATTTTAATTTTAGTCTGTCTCTCATTTACCTATGTATAGAGTATAAAATGAAGTACCATATAGGGGACGTAGTAATACATGTTTAAATGCATCTCTTCAATTTAATCGGCATAATCAAATGAGTGAATTTTAGTTCATGAAAAAAAAAAATTTACATCAGCAGCTTTGCCAAGCTTTTTTCTAATTGCAGCCGCATGTTGAACCATTGATTCTCTGCGGCGTTCGATAGCGGCTTCCTCCCGTTTCTTCAGTTCCTCTGCATCTTTTCGCATTGCAGTGGTTGGTCTAGCTAGTCTTAAAGAGAGGAAAACGGGGAATGGACTGAGATTATTTGTAGAAAAGTACAGGTTGAGAATAAAACTTGCAGACAAAATTAATCATACAGAGAGAGAGAGAGAGAGAGAGAGAGAGACACAGAGAGAGAAAATGATGTCAGAAAACTATGTTTTTTACGTTACCTTTTTGGCATAGCAGTTTTTGGCCTGGCATCTTTATCCACAACCTCCCACGCCGTCCCAGATGCTCCTTCCTGTGGTTTTCCCACAGTCTGCAGTCCAGCTTTTTTAAGTGTCCTCTTGTTGGACAACTCGTCCTTGAATTTTGACAGTCGGCCTTGCTGGGGGCGGACTGGAGGTGGCTGAATGCAGAATTATTATGTAACGTTGTACACGTATCATACAAATTTTGATATTTTATAAGCTTAATCTCGATTGACAGACTTTATTCAGAGCTTGATTTGTACAATAAAATTTGTTAAATGTTTATTTTATTTCGCCATCACAATATGATCGGGAGATGGAGCTCAGATAGTATATCATTTTAGGCAAGACAAATCATGCAGACTATTGAATTAAGGGGCAAAGAATGTATTTGAGTTTACCAACTGAACCAATTACTATTTCAATCTTAAGTTGTGTATTCAAACATAGAATCAGAGTATATACAAATTAACACTAGAGGAAGTGTGTGTACGTGCACATGTGCAACGTATAGGCTTCTTACACAATCCTAAACAAAAACAATTCTGCAAACATTAAAAGCAGAACAAATGGAAGGAACGGAATGAAAAAGTTGACCTGAAAGAGGAACCAAAGACAGAACTCACTTCCATTATCAAAAACATCCTATTTTCACATATTTCAAAGAAGAGCGGTTTTACTTACTGTTCCTTGTGGATCTACACCAACACGGGGGCGCCTTCTTCTAAGACGTTGTCGCACATATTGATATGCATTGCCAACACGCCCTCTTGCAATCCTGAGAACATTTGTGAACCGATTTGTAAGAGGTTCAAAACACGACATTTTATATATAAGTATACGCAAACTAAACTAAATAAACACTAGTCACTGACAGCTTGAGTGTCGCGCCATCGCAACTCGGTATCTGTCTGTTTAATTGTTTTCTGCGCATGCGACGTTTCCATGGTGTTTTAAAAACGTCTCAACAACATAATGAAATTTTAATTATTGCATCACGTCATGTCGCCAAGATTCCTTTGTTGTTGTTGTTGTTGTTGTTGTTTTTTTTTTTTTTTTTTTTTTTTTTATGCAAAAGTTACCTGATGTTCATGATCGTTTTATGGAAAATAATCACAATTTTCAGGAAGTGAAGAAGTCCAAGATTCTACTTGGAAAGGCAGGACTTATCAAAGAAACTGAGGAGGAAGATGAAGATGTTTGTATTAAGCAAGGATTATATATGCTGTAAAAAGAATAGGAATTGTGTTATTTAAAGCCAAAGATGCTGATTATATTTTTCAGTTAAACATATTCAATTGATACAAATTAACCCTGATTCTAATTCAACTTGAAAATATTTATTCAATATCTTACATGATTAGTGCAATTTTACTTCTAAATAATTTATCTTGTTTCTTTTTGTTTATTAATAAGTATTTCTTTAATTTAAGGAGGAGGATTCTATTCAGCAAAAAGATCCCTTTAATATCTCCAATGATGAGCATTACAACCCCAAGCTTACTATGGATAATGCATTGAGAACCAATGTTGGAGGCAACTTAATTCAGGTTAGTGTCCAAATAATTTAAAGTAAAATGGGAGCAACTTTGCACTTAATGGATCACTACTGATTTATGTTATGACAGATTTGATCAAAATTTTGGGCTCAAACTTTAGACATTTCAGTCTTAAGTGCTTAAGTGAAACCGCCCCAGTTTGTGTGTGTTGAGAATTATAATGTTGACTATATATTTGATTCAGGTAGAGTTCCTCTCTTGCCAGTATTATTATTTTTACTATAGTTTGTAGATATTATGTTGACTTCTTGGAACTGAACCCAGTTACTCTGATGGTGCACTTCAACTGCCGGTTAACTTAATGTAGACTTAACTTATTAATCTATACCTTGTCATGTTTGCATATTTATGTATAGACACAGTAGTGTCTCTACATATTCCAATCACCTGCTTCTGTTTGGCTTCGCTAGGAACAGTAACAGCACCAGGGCACATTTCTTACTACTGTATACTAGCTATATGGCTTTGAACTCACAGAGATTACTGATTGTTATAAGATACTGGGAGTGATTTGAGTATCCGTTTTTTTCCCCATTGAATCAAGAAAAAAAAGTTAGTATTCTTTTCAAATCTACATTTATTGCACATTATGATATTATGATACAATGTAAATCCCCACCCCCACCCCTATTAAAACTGAATCTGAGCCATTTGCATTTTCATCAGTTTTCATGAAAGGATGAATTACATCAGTTTAACATTAAAAATCTTGTAGGTAGAAGGAATGCATGCTGTACAAAGGTAATGCCCAGATTAAGAGTTAGATGTTCATGGCATGGTAAAACTCAGTCCTTCAGTCCCAGACTGATAGTAAGCCTTTGGGACTGGTAATAATGAGGTTCAAGTAAATTTTCTTGACTGAAAATAACTGTTCTTTTAATTTGTTATGAACCCAATTTATTTCACTTTTAAGTTTAATATAAATGAAATGTTAAAGACTGGTGGTTGTTCAGTGTCCATATCTTTATAAGTTCATAACTAATACTAAATTTCTAAAAATAAAATAATAACTATTGGTAGTATGTTTAGTAATTTCTAACTTCTAAATATGAAATAATGACAGTACATATATTGAGTAAATAAAATATATGTATATGAATTTATATACATACATTTTTTAAAAAAATGAAATAATACTCATCATTATTTTTAAAAACAAATCAATGGCAATAACTATCCCCAAATAGATACACTTAATATTTGTAATCTGCATTTGATTACCATACACTGTATGTGGAGCATTCCAAATTTAATGGACAACCTTTGTGTACTGATGCACACCAGTGTTGTTTCACTTTATTTATTATTACTTATTAATCAGGTTAAGTTCTCTTACACGTAACAGATATGAATAAATACACAGACATCTCAGTATTACTTAAGTAGATAAATATTATGAATACCACTAGTTTCTTCAATTTCAGCAAGGCGAAATATATAATAAGGAACACTGAAAGTATGCCCTGTAGATTTGAATGTACCAGTAATATAGACATTTGATCACCCAACTGATATTTATGATTTAACTAAATAAATGTGTAAATGTATACATGTGCAGATACAAACTCACATTTAACACTCTCCAACATAAAGTTCTAACAATAATGTTTACCATCAAATATACAAACAAAAACAAATACATTTCAACTCTTCAGTTGTGAAAAAAAAAGACATATAGGCAATATAGATCAGGCCTGTAGCCAGTAGTTTGATAAGGGAGGGGGTCTTTTTCTGAAAAAGTGGCCCATTTACCATGAAACTAGGTAAAATTTCATCCAGAGAGAAACTTTTCCTGGCAAAAAGTGTGGTTTGCCCCCCCCCCCCCAAAAAAAAAAAAACAAAAAAAAATTAGCTTTAGCCTGTATAATATAAAAATGAAATCCATTGTTACACCAGCATTTCACACGTTAATTAAATCAGTTTATGAACTGCCAGAATTATCTCATTGATACAGTAACCTCTTGGTAATACATAGCGTTTTCAGTCTATGGTGTTTATGT